GGGGGGGGGGGGAGAAAAGTAGATGTAGACCGCTGTACCTTCAAAACCACCCCGATATTAGAGAGCAACAGCGTTGGAGCCCATTGACCTCCGGAACGGTTAGGGATCGATTGTTGCCGCCAAAACTTTTTTTAAATAGAGAGAGAGCTAGTACACTCCCGCCAGTGTTCTCTGGCGGCCGATGTGCGCAATCGGTGACGGTGACGGTGACGTGAGGGAGGGGGGCTGCCCGCGCCATGGAGCACCTTGAGAATTCATCTCGCTTGTCTTACACAACTCTTGTGATGACCCTTGTGGACACATTACTCGGACTTCTTTGGCGAGAACTTCGTGGCCACTTAAATTTATTGTGTAGTTTGGAGCCTTAAAACGCCCTTCTTTGTGAAACTCTCTTGCTTCGGAATAGGCGTTACTGCGAGCGTCCGTAAGTTTGAAGATGAACATTTCGCGCTACGAATAGCAGGCCGCGGCGCGTCGCGGGCGAGCGCCCCCGCGCCCGGCCATCGTGGGCGAGTCGGCGACCGGAGCAGCGCCGCCCAGCCGTTTCGCGGGGCGGAAATGTATCCAGTACGTCTGGAGAACGTTATCGGTTATTATTGGTCTGTTCACAACTCGCCCCTTTCCCCTCCGGAAATGCTGAGACTGCCAACCAGGAGAACCGGCTTCTAAAAGTAATGTCGATAGGACGGCATGAAATTACACGTAGTGGCTGTCAATTCAGTAAGCCACAAGGTTAATAAATTGTAAACTATGTAAACTACTCATTTTATTTCCATGCTCACATTCGCCCTCATTATCATCCTGATTTTAATTCAATGTTTTGTATTGAGAAACTTTGTTCAATTGGTCTTGTAATCCTCAATCCATTCCTCTCCTTCGTGGTACAGGGATAGGCAATCTCAAGCAAAGTCACTAATTCAGTTATACATGAATAAAGCTTAATTACTCAATTTACGGCAGATTCATTGTTTCTATTGTGTGAATGGGGGTTTTTCTTGCAAAGTTACGAAATGTGTTTTTATGGGAAATATTTATTTAAATGTACCTTATTTTTACAGTTCGTCATCCAGCGCTTCTAAATACTTTGACATCTGTGCTGGAAAAACTTCAAGACTCAGCTGCAGTAAAAAATGATGATATTCAGTTTCCTCAGTGTGGTACTCCTTATTCAACTTACATTCAGAAGATTATTGAAAAATCTGCCCAAAAGGAGATACCAATGATTGCAAAGCCAGCTTTGGATGTTTTGGCTCAAGATTTTATGAAGTCTGATATCACATATTTGCTTCAACCAGAATTGTATGTATAATTTTAAATAATTTCTGTAATTAGTCTTTTACCTTCTTGCTTCTTTAGTTCCTCATTATTTCCTGTTTCGGCATGCCTTCCACTCTCCCTATCCTTTGTTTCCTTTCTCTTCCCTACCCTCTCTTCATGAGTGAACTGCTGATTGTTTACCTGCCAAACCCTTTTAACTTTCTCACCCACTACATGCATAATATAGAGAAACATATGTAATACTGCAGCAAAAACCGGAGATTTCAGGTAGAAATAACTTTACAACATTTTGTCGGTCCTTGGTAGGTGAAAAATTGGTTTACGGCTTCTTTCTATTCTTCTGAATGTTAACAATAAAACATTTTGTAATGTAATCAAAAATGGAAAAAGGGTTTTCACCAATAGGTCTGTCTGATATCGCAGTCTCTTTAATTTGTAATGGACATATCAATTTTTTGAGGAAACTTTACATCAAACCCCAACGACATCTTCAATTTTTTGGATATCATTGTTTTTCCAAACCAGTTGATCAGGTACATCGTCATAGTATTTCTCGCTGAATTGTTTGCATTGATTTGCAAGTTCTTTATCTGAAAGCTGCAACAAAGTTTGTGGCCAAATGATCGCAAATGAATCAATTGTTTGATTCAACCAGAAAATCGATGGCTCAGCTGACTAATTAAAATATATAAACAAGAGAAGTAAAATTACCTTTGAATTGTTTTTCACTGTCAGTTAAACATTGATTTTCGCACAGTTCATCAAAATGATATCTGACAATTCGTTCTTTACACGTTTCTCGCAAAACTTGACTTTACACCCGAAGACGTAGCCCTCTGCACTACATCGGGTTCTACGGGTTCCATTCGTTATTCATGCATACGCGCAGCCGCATGGCTCTCTGCTGTTTTTGCCGCATTTCAAAGCGCTGGCTCACTCATTGCCATGCTAGGAACGCTTGCCAACGTAGAAATCCAAATGCAGCCAAAATGCGTTTTTCGTAGTTTCTTTACGTGAGAGAGGCGGATCGCCACGCCAGATTCCCAAACAATGTGATTTTTTCACGTCTTAAGTGGAAAAAATCGGATGCAGAGAAATTGCGACAATGCGCACAGCTGCTTGTGTTGCAGGCCGAGAGGAGGCATGATCTTCAGTTCAAAAATCAGTTCCAATGTCTCATTCGAAAAAATGATTTTTTTTTTGGAAAGTAGCCGGCGATTGTGGTGAGAAAATTAATCTCGAAAGCGCGACGTGTAAGCTCTTCGCTATTAATTAGCCCCAAATAACTCAGGCATCCAGTGAGAGAGGAAGCTAATCCACAAAATTCTATGTATTCGTACAGAATACATTCATAAATTGATATTTTGAATTTTGTGGGTTAGCTCCCTCTCTCACTGGACGGTTCAATAGTCAAAAATGAAGACCAAATACAGCCATTTCTTTGTCAATGTAATTCATCCCTCGATTGAAAAGCATTATATAGAATGCAACGAAACCACAAAAATTTAAATAATGAAGGTATTTTTAAATGATAAAATTTAAAAAACGAAAAAGTAACGTGAATTACGAAGTTGTAAATGTATATATTCTACATCCTCCTTTTCTGCATACAGCCTTGGTGCTCGAAATTTAAGTCTCAGCTTTTCTAGTCTTCTTTGAAACATTATTTCTTGGGTTTTGGGTGCCTTCTGCTTAACTTCATTATTCTTCAATTAAACTGTAGATCTTTAAAGGTTATCATGCACTTTTTGTAAAATTTGAGTAATTGTTGTGTTATAGGCCTAACGTTTGATAGGATGAAATGTTTTGGTTTGCTGCATTCCCACTTGTTTAATGTCGTTTGCTCTTGCAATGTTCTAGGATGGTGAATTTGGCCTCCTTCCATGGCCACCGATTGAAGATTAAGAAGAGAAGTGCTCAAAAGAAATTCAAAACCTGTCCTGTATCAAAAGGAGATCGACACTTTGAAGTCCCAGTCAAGCCTGTTTATGCTTCTGTAACAGATTGCTGCCGGCTTTCCGCTACAAGGCAAATTATGAAAATGAATGCACAAATGCGTAAGAAAAGAAAAGAAAAAAGAAAGTTGAAAATTAAAAAGGAAAGAAATAAGAATCAAAGAAATCTGAAAAAGAACAAAACAAATGACAAAAACAGAGCAAAAAAAAAGAAATCCGAAAATGTTAAAAAATGTTCCAAGAAGAGAGAAGCTACAAAAAGTACTTTTCATATTGGTGATTCATCGAGAAAAAGAAGAAAAAAGGAATTGCCTTCAGGTGATGCAAAAAGAATGAAATTGTGTAAGTTATTTAAACTATATGTGCCCTGTTCAAAATATTGGGTTTTTCATTTTCAAAAAAGATATATTCCGGAGGAGGAATTTGATTACCTAATATGCTCAAAACTTCCATTGTCATTTGGATGGCTTCTTTCGGAGTGTTCTTTCTTGTCTGAAATGAGTAAATTCGAGATTTATAAAGAAATTGTTCGAATTGAGGGAGTTTGTAACCGTATGTTTAAACGGCATTGACTAGTGTGTAAATTAAACTTGTGAATAAAGAGAGTTTGCAAATGCGAGTAAGTGTGTGTACGAAATGTATTAATAGTTTTATTGGAAGATGTTTTTTGAATTTATCCAGTGTTGGAATATTGGCACTTCACTGCTGCTGATTATCCAAGTATTTATTTGTCCAATCAACAATATTCTATGAAGGGAAGCTGTGAATTCCATGGAAGAAAATGGATGGGAATGGGAAATGCTGCTTCCAACGTAGTAACATAATGCTTGCCCAGAACATTTTAGATGATAAAAGGTCTCACTTCATGAAAGAATTAGGAACATTTCTAGGAAAGGTTTGGACCAGCAGGCGAACAGAAATTAGAGAGTGGGAAAACAGCATGGGTTAGATGGGAGATCCTAGACGGCAGAGCCTAGATTGGAGAGGAAATAAATAAGTTAAGCAAACAATCCATTTAGTCATTTAAGTTATGTGTATAAACTGTTAAGTAAATAAGCCATAAGTCATAGGTGCTGAGGATGCTAAAGACTGGAAGGTAAATGCCAGGGCTAATACGTGCTGTTTTAGCATATTTATATAAAAATTGCCTCATATTTTCTAATTGATGCTTCCTAAAAGCGCCATTTTTGCCATCGAAAATGCCATTAAATCGAAGGTGGTCCGTCGTTGGATTGAAACCTGTATATATTTCATTAATTTCAAACAGAAATAATGCAAAACTATTTGTCTTTAATTTTTTTTAAGATTGTGCATGACCTTTTTTGAGAGTTAATTTTGTAGCAATTTTTGAAAAAAACTAGTAATACCCGAAATTGAGACTAGCGCCATGTTTCTTACTGTTCATCATTGTGAAGGAAATTTTAAAAAAAATATTGAAGTGGTTTTTGAGAACGTTTTTTTGTGTAAATTTCAATCATAAAAACTACTCAGAAGCGGGGCTCAGCAATTTTTAATTTAAGTGAAACTTTTCCTTCCAAATCGCCCACGTGCCGCGATCTGACTCACACTCGAAATGCCCTCGTACTGGTATTATTAGTTAAGTAATTGCGTACGTGTGGTCTGTCATTGCTACAAGCACGAATATTATACGCGCAAGTTTTCTTGATACACAAGCTCCCTAGTCCTCACCCAGCGCTGAATAGCGCAGCCCGTTGAAATAGTTTGGTTCTACTCGGATCGGCATGTACCAATTTACAATGCTGCTAACAACCACATCGTATTTTCAAAACAATCATTGTATTTCTCATGGCACGCTTTGGGTGTGTTAAGTTCATGCCCAAAGTTTGTACGCCCTGTAACTAGAGCCCTCCTCTCCCCGCACCCCACGATGCGGAATAACAAGAAAACTTGCGAGTGTAGTACTGGCCATGAAGGATCCTTGCACTGTTTGCGTATGGACGTGTGTTTGACCAACACCATCTAGGTGGTGTTGATTTGACAGAGCCCAGAGCTGACGGAAGCGGCTGAGGCATGGGTATGGCAGCCGTGATGATTGCTGGTAACTGAAAATTGTAAAGAATATATGAGGTGTAATTGCATCACACGCATTATAACATCAAAACCTCACATAATTCTGCAAAGAAGTACAACATTTACAAATTATTTATATTTTTTTACTAAATTGTTGACCCAACTTATCTCGAACTATTAAATAATTCTAAACGTGTACTGGACTTACACAATCTTTTACAATTCTTTCGTCATTCTTCAAATTATCTTCTCCATCTTTGCACGTTTCTTCTTCTTTTTCTTCTTCT